TCATCCATCTCCAATAAGATGTTACCTTATCTATCCATATATACATATATTGACAAATACACACACTCAAGCACTGTCAGTCAGTCAGCCTGTTTGTCTGTCTCTCTATTTATCCATCCATCCACCATCTATCTCTACCTACAATATCGGTATCTATCCATTTTTATGTCTTTCTAATTTCAACTTTTACAATACCTATCACAGCTGTTGATCATGCTACTGAAAATTCCATAAATTGTGATCCTAAAACATTAGATTAGCATTTTACCACAGTAGAAAACACTTTTGCCATAGGACCTACAGGGCTGCCCAATCTGTGGCCCAGTTGCTATCTCTGGAAGGAGAACTCAAAGCTCCTCATCTTATTTCTTACGAGATTCTTTGTCTTAGTTCTGAGGTGGTCAGCCCTTGGAATAGAGGAGTTCTCTCTAAAATAGGATATATGATGCCCTTATGTCAGCCCCCTTCCAAATAAATTTGATTTTGGCATACTTAATGTATATCCCACTTCTGTGCATTAAAAAGAAAGCAAAGAAGGAAGGCAAAGAATCCCTGTTGTGAACAGTATGTGTACATATATTTTTGCAAAAAATATGTTCAATATTATCATGCTAGGGTCTGGAATGATTTAAGAAAATATGCAGATGACTAACCAAGCTTGTGAAATATTAACATTAAAAGTTTAGCCATTTAAAACACAGCACGGTGCAATGTAGAATTGCCCTGTAACCCCCTGCTTTGATATCATAAATTTCTAAAGCCTTCACATGGCTTCCCATTGGTTTTATAAATCCCCCTTCCCCATCCCATGCTAAGGGAGAATAAAATGCTACAGAGAAGGTAGCTTGTTGATTCACCAGCTTGGCACCAAGTTAAATAGCACAGCTAAGTGCAAGGCAGTGGGATGCAAGCCAGAATCCTATAGCCATTTAATAGAGATTCTGGTCTCAAGCAGTGAGAACAGCATGATAGAATGAAGAGCATCTAAGATTTTCAGTATTATTACTGCTTGTGGTGATGAACAAAAGGGTGGCTTAACTCCACTGTGTTAGCAATGGATAAATGACTGACCCTGCTTTGCCTTTGGGTGACCTCCCAAGTATGATTTTTATGGCAGCAGTGAGGAAGTTGAAGCGGTGCTTCAAGCCACATGCCTTGTACTTATTTTCATGCCTGTGAAGAAACCTTTCTGTAAAGGATCAATTTAGAGAGTAGGGAAAGAAAAACAATGGGAAGAATCAGATAGGACAGTGTTTCTCAACCTTGACAATTTTAAGGCATGTGGACTTCAACTCCCAGAATTCCACAGCCAGCATTGCTGGCTGTGGAATTCTGGGAGTTGAAGTCCACATGCCTTAAAATTGTCAAGGTTGAGAAACACTGAGATAGGAGATGGGGGGAAGGAAGGAAGAGAAAGAAAGAAAGAAAGAAAGAAAGAAAGAAAGAAAGAAAGAAAGAAAGAAAGAAAGAAAGAAAGAAAGAAAGAATAGAAAATTACACAATTTTAACTTTGGTCAATAGCTTCCTTCTCAGTTGTTTACTCTCAAAGGAGTAAAGTACTTTGTTGAGAAGATATTTCAATTGCTGATCTTAATGTGAAACCTACTAAAAGTTATCAGGTTTTTTTTCTGAATCAAAAAACCCAAGCTAGAATTCCTTTGCGCTAAAAGAAATCATTTTAAGCAATTTTCTTAAAATAGTTTTATTTGGAGAGGGGGCTTCAAGTCATAGACCAAGGTTAACCAGCTAGATTTATTCCTGAAGCAAATCTAGGACTCATAGTCTCCTAGTTTCTAACCTGGTGCTTTAACCAGAGCATCAAACAGGCTCTCTTTGGTTATTATAGTTGTTAAAGAGAAAGTGGATATAATATCCACAATCACTAATCAGCATGATTGGAGGAGTTGTAATCTAATACAATGTGCATGTCTGATATTAGGAATGAAGTACTAATGGATTGTACTGGCTATTTATTTATTTATTTATTTGGTTTATAGGCTGCTTGGTTTCATCACAACTCAAGTTGGTTGCGGTTTGACCTAAGGAATGAGAACACGACTATCATTTATTTCATAGTTTTGTTTATTTATCAAATGTATTTTCTATCTGCTTGTCATATTTGAAAAATAATTTCAGAATGGCAGTTTTTTTTTAAAAGGAAAAGTAAACCTCCATTTGTTCAACTTCTAGGTTACAGTACTGAAACAGTTTGCCATTGCTTCTTTTGGGATTATTATCGGTGGTGGTTGTGCTGGTTTTTTAGATTGCAGCCTTAGAATTTCCAGGGAATGATTCTTATGCCAATATAATCAAGTCTGACCCTTTCAGATCCCAGACAAGGACAGCCGGACACTGCCACTGTCTTGGACCAAAACAGGCATACAAAATACAAAAGTAAAAGCACACAATAAAGCCAGATCAAATTACAAGTCAAAAACACTGTACTGACCCGCAAAAACAAGAAGCTTTCCTATGAGCTATTTTTGCTCATGCTGTTCTTTTTCTCACCCACCCCCCTTTAGGAATGTCTGCTTCTGGCCCCATGGGATTATTTTTTTTCCAAGTGGGGATTTTGAGATACCAAAGATACCAAACGTGTTACATTATGCTATAATTTAGAAATTCCACAGAGGTATTCTGCTTTCTAATATATGCACAGTGGTATGGAGTTCCTTAATAGTATATTTAATATTGTAGGGCAGTGATTCCAATTTGCTTTGAAGCCAACTATGTCAACAAAGGTAGATTTTGAAATCCCACAGAACACATCTGTATCTTTTAAATGTCTGCTTGCAAATGTAATTACAGTTGCTTACTGATTCTGTATTATGGCTTTGTTCATTCTGATAACTGGTATTCATTAGTCTTCTGCCTCTGCAGTCAAAGGTGGGACCAATATGTGTGTCTGTGTCTGTGTGTATCTGTGTATGTATGTGTGTTGGAATTTTGGATGCCAAATCTTGAAGTAAAGTAAATGCTGTGTAACATTGTGGTAAGAATTGAGTCTCTGCAAATTTACATCCTCTCATGTTGTCTCATGATAAATTGGTTTTATTTTATGATTTGAGAACTGCCTAGATCAGTTGGAATATCCTGGACAGTGCGTAAATCAAGATAAACAAAAAACAAACACATAATGATCACTGTGGAACAAAATTTTATTCCCAAAAGTTGTTTCTTTCTTGCTTGTTTGTAATGGCCCTTGCCTTTGAGTAGGAAATTCATCTCCTATGTACACCAGAACAGAAAAGTACAAAGAAATGTTGATAAACCAAGTTAATGCTTTTTTTAAACTTAGTTTATATGAAAAGGGATAAGAAAAGAAAGACCAAAACATCAATCCAAACAGAGCATTTAATTTCCAGTTAGAAACCAATGGCCAAGAAAAGCTATTCCTCTTGGAATAAAATTCCACTTCCACAGACATTTGGAGAATCATTGTGGAAAATAGGACATTAGATTAGGGAAAGCTTGGTATGATTCATCAAGATGGCTTTTATGTTTTTTTATCAAGAACATCACTATATTTTCCTTTGCAGCTCAAACTAGTATTTATTGTCAAGGATTCTTATTAATGTTATTATTTAGAAGTAGCAAAGTTAAAGCACTGCCTCCCTCATTAACCATCCTTGGGTAGGTAGGGATGAGAAATAGGGGTTGGCCTGATGTTTACTACTGAACTTCCAAAGTTGAGAGGTGGCTTGGAAATGGACACCACAATTTTCATGCAACATCTTAAGCACTATGTTGCTATCCACATATCACAGCAAAAGTACAAATAAAATAATCTGAACAAATCAATGCCGCAAAAATTCCTACAATATAGCTAGAACATATATAGCCTCATTTCAATATTTCTTAATTCTATTTGGTTACTTCTTTGTTTTACAGTATTTATAACCTTCAATCCCAAAAGACCCTGGGCAGTACACCATATCAGTGCTAATGATCTTATCCAGTTTGGATAATGAAATGTTTTCAAGAAAACAATCAAGCTCAGAGACTGGACTATTGCAACGCCTTGACTATTGCAACGCTCTCTACATGGGGCTCTCCTTGAGGTGCACCTGGAGGCTCCAGCTAGTTCAGAATGCGGCCGCGCGGGGGATTTTGGGGGCCTCTAGATACTTCCATGTAACACCTCTCCTGCGCGAGCTGCACTGGCTGCCGGTGGCCTTCCGGGTGCGCTTCAAGGTGTTAGTAACAACTTTTAAAGCGCTCCATGGCAATGGACCTAGGTATTTGCAAGACCGCCTCCTACCAAATATCTCCCTTCGACCAGTCCGCTCCCACAGAGAGGGCCTCCTTAGGGTGCCGTCGGCCAGTCAATGCCGGCTGGCGACCCCCAGGGGGAGAGCCTTCTTTGTGGCAGCTCCTGCCCTCTGGAATGACCTACCCCCCGACCTACGTACAACTACGGACCTGCGCCTCTTCCGCCGAGCCTTGAAAACCCATCTATTCCGGCCTGGCGTAGTTTTGATTGGGCTTTGCTAGGGGTTTTATATGGGGTATTTTAGAGCAGGCTTTTTATTCAATATTTATTGTGATTTTTATTATTGCCTGTTCACCGCCCTGAGTCCCGTAAGGGAGATAGGGCGGTATATAAATTTAAATAATAAATAAAATAATAAATAAATTTCAACCCTGAGCCACAAATATTCTCCTGTATCATAAACAAGAGTGCTTGAGGGTGTGGCTAAAAAGTCAACATGGTAGCCATGAGAGCATAATGGAAGCTTTGGCTATTTTTATGTGCTTTATATGTACACCATGCATAAAATATGCACGGAGCTTTGCTATCATGTTGGTTTTTTAAAATCATATTCTGTGGACACCTCTGAACATAAAGAACACCAGAAATATCATAATAAATTGGTGATCAGAACAATGTTCAAATCCAAAAATAATCATGGCTAGTAAGAATAAGCCCATAAGTCATTCCTGGTGACAAATGCCTCCTCTACAGAACAGCCGCTTAAAGTCTGTGCTTCTTGTCATAGGGAGCTGAAAGGAAAATCCGAGATGAAGAAAGAAAGCAAAACAGAAAGAAATCGAAAGGCCAAGCTTCTCAGGCAGCTTGCCCTAATGGTGAGGATACAATCTCTTTCTCTTGGTCTATACCAGTGGTTCTCAACCTTTTTAATGCTGCGACCCCCAACCGGTCGTAAGTCGAGGACTAAACCGGTCGTAAGTTGAGGACTTTCCCTGCGCGGGAGCGCCGCGCATGCATGGTTCCGCCCCCTGTGCCGGCCCAGGCGTAGCTGGCAAGCGGCAGAGATGGAGCAGGCCGACCACCAGCTGGCCCAGCTGAAGGGAGGTAAGGCACCCGCCAGAAAAGGGGAAAAAATGGCGGACAGCCTTGCTTGGCGACCCCCGTGAAATGGTCGATCGACCCCAAATGGGGTCGCGACCCATAGGTTGAGAACCGCTGGTCTATACAGTGCTCAGTGTGGTGCGAATAATATCTTCCCAGTCAGTAACCTTCTCTTCCATTTTCCCTGAACAGCAGAAGGGAAGTTGATAGCTGTGCCTCTCCAAAAGAAGAGTGACATCACCTATTTTAAAACTATGGCTGACCTGGATTCCCAGCCTGTTCTTTTCATACCAGATGTTCATTTTGGCAATCTCCAAAGAGCTGGACAGGTAAGAAATCAGGCAATGTGAAGGTCTATCCTGCCTGGCAACATTTTGGTCCATCGTCTATTTCCCAGAAATAAATGAGCATGATCCATTCTGTGTAAATAACTTTGGGGAGTCCACTGACATTCAGATGAAGTTGTCTTCTTCCAGATCAGATTATTTGACCAACTAAGCTAATAGAGCATACTAGGGAATGGTAGTGGTAATCTTGAATCTGCAAAGACTCATTCATGTCATTATTCATCTTGTTGCCAAAGACTGAACAGAGAATTTTCTGTATGCCACTCACAACTTCTCTCTTTGAGGTGTGGATCATAGTTGAAATTAAATCTAACTGAACAGAGATAAGAGCTGATCTATCAAAATCTAGCTCTGTTGCTCAGGGTAACCAAATTTAAAACAGAAAAGGCAAGAGTTAAATATTTCTTTTAATCTACTATTATTTAATAGGTGTTAACATTTAAAATAGTGTGTTACTGTCAGTTAAAAAGTATTTTCGAAGATTGAAGAAGTAAAGCTGAGGTTTTAAAGTCCAACAGTTCCTCTGATCATGATTCTCTTTTTAATAAAGGAATTCAAGGGAAAACTGTTTCAAATTCTTCTCAACAGAATAAGCAGAAATTTTAGTGTATCCAAATGTGACCCCTGTCCCAGAAAAAGCTGTGTCTTCCTCCCCATATTAAAATGTCAAATTTGATCCCTAGCATCAAATCAAATATGTCTGGAAAGTATTCTTTTAAAGCCATTTTTTCACATTAAAGCAGAGTCACATCTTCTCCACAGAATTAAAGGGTGTTGACCCTTCCAAGATGGGAAGAAATACAGAGAGAAAGAGAAGAATTTCATCCTATCCATTTTTCTCACAGCAGTTTACACTTTTGGCAGACAAACCAAATGTGTTTACCTGACTTTGTTTAATTCAAACAAACAACAGAGAATGGAAGAATTCTAAAGAATGAACAGACATGACCTGTCAGAGACTTTTTCTCACAGGTCCTCTAGAAATGAATGGGGCATGCCAAAACTGAGCAAAATGAGCAACTGATTTATGTGAAGAAGACCGAATTAATGGCTTGGCCCCCTTCCTTGATTTCCTGGAGACACCATAACTATAAATCTGTTTGTTGTTCTTTTTTGCAGGTTTATTATAACACCGATGATGAACGAGAAGGGTATGACTTTTACTATACATTTTGTAACTAAGAATCCAACCCCCTTATACAAAATATAAATATAAACATGAAAATTCTAGTGCAAATTAAAGCTATGTAATTTTTCCCCCGAGAGTGATGTTTCTTTTGTTGTAGCAATTTTTATTGCTTCTGATAGAAGTGATCTGATATTTATGCATCTCCTGAGATATAATTTTGGCTAGGTATGCTTTAAAGGAGGTCCACACCAGTGAAGCAAGACAAAGCAAATCCCGTAGTATAGAAGACTTAATTTTTTTTAACAACTTGAATAATGCACATTAAGAAAATGCAGTTCAGCTTGCCAATTTTGAAATATTTTCTGGAAATAATCATTAGTAAATCACTCTGGAGCTCAGTGACTATTGGAATTTCCTCTTAGCTCCACTTACCTTCCTGTGATCTGCATGCCTGCCTTGTTGGCCATTAGAGTAGAAACTGCTTCATATCTATGAATAACACTAAAACAGATCCCCACAATTAAACAATGTGATCTGCTAGGACCTAGGAAGTATACCTCCTCCATCACAGAGCCTGCTCTCTGGAGCTGGATCCCCTCCAGAAATCCATATGGTTCCTAACCTAATGACAAACTGAAAGTCTTTGACAACTTGGCTGTTCTCCCAGATCTTGGTGCAGGGAAGACTTGCTGAGCCCTATAGGTCACTTTTTTATTGTTATGTATACTTTTCTTTCCTTGATATCCATGGTCTGCTTTTTAATTTTGAGTGTTTCTAGCTTTTGAAGCATGACCTGCTCAGGGAAATTTAAAATCAGAAAGCCTCTAGTTTATATAAAATAAATAAATGGAAGCTTAGTTCCTCAGAGTTCTAGTTTTGGTAATATATATAAGCAGAAAACTGGTTTATAGTCTTAACTGTTTTTGTGTCTACCGTAGTATCTTACATAACGTCTCAACCTGTTAGTTTAGATCCAGGGTAGGCAACCTTGGCTATTCTGGCTCAGGAATTCTGGGAGTTGAAGTCCACGAGTCATAAAAGAGCCAAGGTTGCCTACCCCTAGTTTAGATAATATATCAGTATTATGCCCATGGAATTAACAGTACCTTATTCTTAGAACAGGCCTATCAAAAGTACTAGCATTTTCTTAAAAATTACTATTTCATCATTTCATTGTAAAGGCTGATCTTGATTTTTTTCCCCTGTAATTGATTAATTGATCTATGTATATTGCATTTTAATATAGTCTGAATGAAATGATAACATATGATGTTTTATGGAAATAATTAGCTGGAATCTGGAGAAAAAGCCGAAGGATGTGTGTCAGAATTAATGTTGCCTTCTGGATGTTTTAAACAGTAAGCAAATATTATACTGAAATAGCCTTGCCTGATGACTTCTCTCAGGGAAGAAAGAGAAATAAAGTAGCAGTCTAGAGAGCAGAACAAATCCATAGTACTTACTACAACTTTTGCCTTGGTATCTATCAATATACATTCTACAGCAAAAGGGATTTAAATCCCATCAAATCAAGTTACATCAGATTCAGTTAGTGTAAAGATGGATATTTCATCTTTAGTTAATCTTGATCAGCAGTCTTTCCCTGAACAAAGAGGAGGATTATTGTCAGGTGCAAAAGACCAGGATCACATGTGTAGTTGCAATTAAACTGATTTATTGCTCAAGCTTATGCCCATCTACTAAACTAACAACACTAATTTGGTGCTAGATAAGAGTTCAAGTAAAATTGGACTTAGTCTGTTGGTAGTTACACAAAGATTCTACACTGATTCCTTTTTTGACTCTGCCACTCCTTGTCCTACAATTATTGTACCTTGATTAATTTACAAATCTGTTTCTTTGTGTTTTTCTGCTCAGTGGTAGTATTCTAGCTAAACGGATATTCCGCACAGTTGAAGAGGACTTTGTTCCACCACCGTTGAAACAAATAAAAGAAGAAGGAACAAAGAGAGGTACTTATTTGCTCTTAGACACTTTGTCTTATATCCCTTGTAGCAACTGATGATCAACTAAAATACACAATACTTTCCCAACTGGATGCCTCCAAGATGTAGCAGTTCCCCAGAAGATACAAATTACAGCCCAAAACATTTGGCGGCTATTGAAAGTTTGGTTAGAGTTTTGGATATAGTTGAGAAACAGCTAGGCTCAAAACCTCAAAACCAGGGTATATCACAAAATCACATAAATGCATGTTATAGGTAAATTACAGGTAGATCTCACTTACTGATGGTAATTGGGACTGGGAACTCCATTACTAAGCAGTGTGGTTGTAGGATGCAACATCAAATGGCTATGCTGATTTATGACAGCAATCCCAATTGCCATTGTTAGGCTAATCCTGCATGGTCTCAGCATCCCTGGATCATGTGATCACTGTTTGCAACTTCCTGCTGGCTTCCCCAATGTCTTTACTTGTTGGAAGTCAGCAATAACAGTCGCAAATGGCAACTTCACAGTCACGTGACAGTAGGAATGCCATGATGGTTGCCAGTACGAGCACTGTTGTAAATGCCCTTCATTCTGCATTATCCTAACTTTGAATGATTGCTGAATGAGTAGACTTTAACTGAGGACATCTGTATTTGCTGATGTTACTGTTGAAACCTCACATTGGAAATGATGAAGGGACTATTGGACAATGTATGAAAAAACTATATTGGTGATTTATCTTGTTTTATCAGAACACTACAGATAGTCCTCGACTTACAACCGCAACTGGGTCTAAAATTTCTGTTGCTGAGACATTTGTTAAGTGAGTTTTGTACCATTTTACAACCTTTCTTGCCACAGTTGTTAGGTGAACCATTGCACTTGTTAAATTAGTAACATGGTTGTTAAATGAATCTGGATTCCGTATTGACTTTGCTTGTCAGAAGTTGCAAAAATTGATCACGGGACACGGCAACCATCATAAATATGAGTCAGTTGCCAAGCGTCTGAATTTTGATCAGATGGCCATGAGGATGCTGTAATGGTTGTAAGTGTGAAAAACAGTCATTAGTTACTTTTTTCAGTGCTGTTGTAACTGCAAACAGTCACTGCATGAACTGTTGTAAGTTGAGAACTACCTGTAATTATTTTGCCCTTGTATCCCAAAAAGAAAATTCACAGATTTGAGTATTTGCTTTACAAGTTAATGGATTTTTTAGTTATTGATTTGTAAATTTGATATCAATGATGGCAAGTTACCCAATTCTATAATGAACTTCAAGAACTCAATTCTATAGAGAACTTCAATGTAACCATCTTGAATTGATTTGGAAGCTCTAAAAGTTTTAAGAAATACTGCTATTTGTAACACAATTTATTGGAAGGGGAAAAAAGGACACCCTATTTCCAAATCAGCTAATATGCCTCTTGCCCCATGATATACTTATTTTCTGGGATAGTTTTATTTTTAATAGAAGTGCCTGGCTTTTTTCAATTGTCATTTGGTGGAAAGAAAGAAATTGCCGTCCAAGGGAAATGATTCATTTGTGAAACTGTTAAACGTCTTCTCCAAAGTTTGGTTCTTTATTTTTCAGTTCTCCTGTATGTGAGGAAAGAAGCGGATGAAGTGTTTGATGCTTTGATGTTAAAGTCTCCCACAGTAAAAGGGCTTATGGATGCAGTAAGTATTTGTCACCTCATCTCACATCTTATTGTATTAAAGCAACAAGCATACTTTGATTTGGTTTTCTGGGGTAATTGCGGGAAAAAAATAATAATTTTATATCTATGCAAACTTAAAAAAAGACTGAACATTTATTCAGTACCAACCAAAATGTCACAGAAAAATGACATTAATCAGCAAAATATTTATTATACGCATAAATTGAGTTTATTCATTGCAATTATCCTTGGCTACTGATATTCCTTTCCAAGAAAGCTGTTCCAGATTGAAGAGGAACTTGAAGGAGTTCATGTCCTTTTGTTTAGAATGACTTCTTTATTTTTATCTCTGAACCTTGAAAAAAAAATATCAGCCATAGCAGCGGTTCTATGGAAAGAGTATAGGAGATTCTCCCCTAATCTCTAAAAATATCAGTCTGACCACTGCGAAAGTAAGATATCTCTTATAGTTAAGTTGGACCTGCAACTTTTAGTTATTATTTCTAATCTCAATGTTGTCTCAAAAACAATTTGTTTTCTAATTAAAGTTCCTCTCTATTTTTCTTGATCTCCAAGTCTGTGGGAATTAAGCATGTGGTAATTTTCCCAGCCCCTTCCTTTTTAAAAACTTTCCATAACTCTTTCCTGAATTTCATATCTTGGGCAAATAGACCCCAAAAGTTGGAAGAGTGAACTAAAAGGTTGGTGGATGTTGACAAATAAACATGACTGCATAAGATGAGAAGGGATGATAAAAATGTGAAATTGTTGAGCTGAGAAAGACTGCAGAGCAGACTGATTGATTATTTGTATACTGCCTACTCAGGCAACTCTTACATGGATTACCGCGGTAGCTTAAAACATCCGTGAAATCAGTTTTAAGTATTAAAATACTTTAAAATATGCTGCTATTTTCCATTAAAACTCACCCAAAGCCCCAACTGGTTTCTTAAAGGATAAAATCAACATTTTATTTAACCCCCAGACAGTAACTCTTCCAATGTGAATAGACTGCCCATAAGAATGCCACTTTTCCCATTCTCCCCTCCCCCTGCATCTCTCCAGGATGGGTAGCCACAGAATTTCCTGGCCAATTTATGTTGAGTGGTGGATTCTCCTAAAAAAGACAATCCCGGGTAGCAAAAGCCTATGCTAAAAAGAATTTTATAGGCCAAACCCAGCACCATAAATTATGCCTAGAAACCAGTGAAGCTCTCCCAAAATAGGTAGATTCTATTGCAAGCAACTTTGTTCTGAGTCATTTTTAAACTGCAATAGTTTGTCTGAGAGATGAGAAAATATCATCCATTCCTTTAGCATCTCTGGCCCAAAATGACACACAACTGGTGGAGCCACCAAACCTGGGCAAAGGTTCTCCTGGAGGAGCAGTAAATCTGGAAGAATCCCCACTTTTATGCACTAGGTCTTTCTGCGGTATTCAATCCCAATGGGAACAAAAGATGGAAATTTGTGGAACTAAATGACTCCCATGACTAGAATAATGCTGTCTTGCTGTGATTCAAATATTGTCTGTTTTACACGACATTTTTTATTTGTACAATTTATTAGGTTGTTTTTTTTACAGGCAAGTTTATTTATTTCCTGTAGTTTTTAAGTGAAAATGTTTGTTTTAATAATAATTAAATAATTACTATAATGTATTTATTGTATTTGTGGAAAATAATTTATTATACATTACTTTATGTTCCTTCTGGTGTATTTCAAAAACGTCATCATAAAAGGCAGTGGGAATGAATAAATGGCTCACATTCATTGATGCCTCTTGCTAAATAGATCTGCTTGGCAGAAAGTATAGAGCAGGGGTGTCAAATTGCCGGCCTGCATGCCGGATGCGTCATGCCAAAACCACGTCTACCCCATGGCCAGCAATGAAAAAAAGGTTGCGATACGTCGCGACACGTCACGTGACATTGCGAGTTTGACACCTCTGGTATAGAGTTTAGAACGCAGAAATATTTTAACTGGTGCACTTTTTAAATTTATGTTGCATTTCAATGCAATTACAAACATGCTACAAATATGTTACAAATCTTTGCAACAGTGCCATCTTGATGACCTTCCTATTTCACTTCCCATAAGGGAAGGAAATCTTTCATAGATATATGTTATACTTTGACAAGACAACGTAAAATGTTTTTTCTTAAAATTGCATACTCATATACATGGATTCATGCCCAATTGAGTTTGGAAGTTCTTGGCACTTTAGCCTTAGCTATGTTTTCAGAACTACAGCCCATCATAATCGTAAAGCAAAAGTTCCATTGTTTACAACTTGCACATTTCTCCCATTTTTCAAATTTTGATCTGTGGGCTCACCCAAACTTTTCATACTTGACAGTATTTTCTTACATTTATTATTCACGTCATGTTTCTTCCTTTTACAATAGCACACCAGAAGAATGGTCAGTAAATCTTCTCATTCTGCTTTTTCCAAAGACAAGAAAATAATATGGCATTCTTGCAAGCCAATTGTTATAACAGGAGCTCTCACAGGTAGCCATTGTATTGTCAAAAGCTCAGAAGAAGCAAGAATAGGATTGCTGAACATAACATTCAGACATTGGGGAATAAAACTTTTTAATAAGTTGAAAAGAACAATAATGTAATGCATAATCAAATGAGAAGCAATGTTAAGTTTTGGAGAGACTTATATAAGAGAGACCATATAAAGGTATTTGGGGCATATATATACTAAATATAAAGCATGTATGTGTACCTACATACTTAATAAAATATTTGTTAAGTACAGGTAATCCTCAATTTACAACAGTTCATTTAGTGACCGTGACTGTGGCAGCATCCCCATGGTCACATGATTTACATTCTGATGCCTGACAATTGATTCATATTTATGACGGTTGCAGTGTCCCAGGGTCATGTGATTACCTTTTGCAATCTTCTGACAAGTAAAGTCAATTGGGAAGTCAGATTCATTTAACAACCGTGTTACTAATTTACCAACTGAAGTGATTCACTTAACAAATGTGGCAAGAAAAATCATAAAATGGGACAAAACTCAGTTCAACAAATTTCTCACTTAGCAACATAAATTCTGGGCTCAATTGTGGTCGTAAGTCGAAGACTTCCTGTACAGTTCAGAAAAACAATTCTGGAAACTGGGTACCTCAGGACTGTTGTTAAGAGTCTAACCAGTCATCATTGACAGCTATGTAGAAATTACTAGTAAGTGATTAAAAGCAGTGACTCAGATACCTGGCTTGCAATAATTTCCCACCATATCCATAATGATTAAAACAACAACTACTGGATCTGCTTGCTATCACTGCCGACTGAATTTTTTTATTATTCTTTACCTCCTGTTTTCATGACAAAAGTCTTCCTGCTTTTGCTTGTGATGCAGCACTGTTGTTTCTATCTTTATGAAGAGCAAGTCAAAGTCCCCTAAAATTGCTTAAGAGCTTTTCTCTGTTGCCATTTTCCCTTGGCTTGACTCTGAGACATAAGAGAAGGTGTGGAGTGGACTCTTAATTAGCTGTTTGCATTTGCAACCCAGAATCAATTTTGTAGACTGCTTTTGTCCCCAGGTCGGTGGGAAATGTTTAATTTCCAAGTTGCCTTTTTGCTCAGAATAAATCCCAAAGGTGAAATACAAATAAAAATTGAGACATAATTAAAACACTTAAAAATACATACACCATAAAATTAAAAACAGAGATTAGAGATAATTCATTTCAAATTGCTGGCAAGCCAAACTGAGCAAACCAGATTTAATAGTCTGCTTTAAGTTTAAAGAACCATTCTGCAGGGAAAGACCTCGCATAACTAGTTTCCATGCCAGTATTATCCTTTTCATTGGCAGATACATTTCATTTATCCAGATAAATATTTTTATCAAGTAAGAACAGTCATTCACCACCAATGACGGAATCAATAAAGTCTGCCAGGCTGTCCATAAGCAAAGGGAGTGAGCTCTTGATTGAGAAAATGGTACGTCTTCAATCCCTTTTACCTGTTAAATTAGAAAGTGCATATCTGCAACAACTTCATTATGCACATGATGCAAGTCACATATTTGTACCATATTATTTCTATAATAGCATCTCTGAACCATCAATATGGATGAGCAGGGATAGTGATCAATTGCTCTAATGAGCTGGGAACATTTGACCTCATTATGCACATTAGGAAGATAATTATATAAGGGGATCTATCCTGTTCTCTTTTTTTCCCCAATTAGATTTTTTTTCTTGCATTTCAAACACTCTTGAACCTCCTCCCAGGCATTTTAACTCTTTTTACAGAAATTCAGAGCCATCTGAGTTATCTAAAGAAATGGTATTGAGGAGGAAATGTATGATCATAACTAAAACAAGATTGAGTTTTAGACACATAGAAATTCACCATGATTGGGCATTAGGATTTTATTTATGGGAACGCACTGGGGATCAGAGGTTCCATTCTAAAGGAAAGGCCAGTTTAATCCAGTGTTTCTCAGCTTTAGCAAGTTTGATAGAGGCGGTCTTCCATTCCCAGAATTTCCTAGCAAGCATGCTGGGGAATTCTGGAAATTAAAGCCCATACTTGTCACAGTTGCTAGGCTTGAGAAATATTGATAAATGCTTCTCTGTTGCCTTTCTCCAACAGCCTTCTGCGCTGTTGTTGTGAAGGGCTCTCTGGAAGTTTTTCAAGAGGCACAAGAAGGAATAAGGAAAAAGAGGTATCTTAAATATTACCTCCTGCTCACTTTTTCCAGTCTATTCTGATCCAACTCCGAGCTACTTTCTCAGTGCAGAAAAGCAGATGAGGTGATGATCCTTTAATCCTTTACTTTAAGGTCTGCAATTTGATTGTGTTGACCTGCAGTGGGGAAAGGTCCTTGCTTTGATGTGTTGTGAAATCTGGTTGCCAAGGACAGTTTGTATCCTCCCCAACCTCTCTTGACATGTTTTCCCAATTTGAGAATGTCCCTGAAAAGTTAGTTTGTTAAATTTAGAAAGACAGAGGAGTGTGTCCTTTGAGAAAGAATGCAGTAACAATTCTAAGATCTACGTTTCTTAAGGGAAGAGCATGCTGCGGTGTATCTGCTCCGAGTCTCCATAAACATAAATGGATAGATTAAATCTTCTATGCATTATCAAGATGGAAGAACTATTCTGGTAGTACAGAGAACATATGGGAAACACGGAAGGAGAAAGAATGTTCAGCCATTACTTGGGAGATTTTCTGTTTGAATAACTGAGGGGAAAAACATAGCTTGGAGATAGAGAGTTGCAAAAAATCATAGTAAGGTAGTGGTTTTGCTACATGCATTAAATAAAAATATTTTATAACGGAGAGTTTTGGGAACAGTTGAGATAATAGGGGATCATCCATTACCTCCAATATTGTTTGGAATCATTTGAGTTTCTCTCTGTCAGCAAAATCTCTCACAAGAATTTTTCCCTGCAGTCCTGGTTGATGCCATAAATGGGGATCAGAGATTCCATGTTGCACATATAACTTAAAATATCTCAGTTGTAATATACTTGAAGGAACTGCTATAACTCATTGCTTTGGGTGCCCACATTTTCTTAGAACCAGCTAAGTTCTTCATATGGATTCTCTTTTGGGGGTGAGGGCTGATGATTCGTTGTCTTCTTTATAAGATGCTGTAGCTTAATACCTTTCTCAGTTTGGGTTTCTGTCAATGTGTCCAATTAAACTCCCCAAATTTCCAGATGGCACACAGAAGGAATTCTTTTTTAGGCTTCTGTGTGCCCAGTTGGCCTCTAGTTGTACAGCCACAGATTCAACTAAAACAAGAGCATCTGAAAAGGACCCCGCTTGCTTGATGTATTCCAAAATTATTTGCATTTATATCAAGATATGTGTTTTTGGATTATAAATGCAATCTGATCATAATGCCATGCATGGAACAGCTTTTTCCCACCCCAGCTTCCATCAAGTGAAGTTTCTGGGTACTCTTCAAGGCTGTGCCATATATTTCCATCTGTCCGCTTTCACGAAACCAAAGCATGGTTGGCTGCAGCTGGATAAGGAAAGTGTATTATCATCGTCTAGAATACTCTTTCAACATTTGGAAATTTAGGCATCATGGTATACTCCCAAATTGCTTTCACTAATCTGCAAAGTTCTTGCAAGGAGATTCACTTTTGATCTTAGGGGCTCAGTTCTTGGACAGTTAATCTTTATTCATTCTTTAGAGGAGAAGCCTGTTTTAAATCAGTAGAGATTAAAGCCACAAGAAGAAAACCATGCAGAAAATGTAGTATAGACAAATATTAAAATATTAAAAGCGGCAGAAAATTCAGCTACACCTAAAAGTGCTCCATTTCCCGTGTATAAGTCCCACTGTGTTCTGCAGAACCTGGAGTGCAGTCTAAGTCTTCTAAGTGTACTAAGAAGAAGGGGCATTGTGTAGCCTGCCACGAATTGCCTAAATCTAACTGAGGACGGTGATTCTGCAGTAGGTTTGCTTTTAATAAATCTATCTCCTTTTCTTTTTTTAAAAAATATAGATTTCTGAGAAATATGGCCTTCCAGCTGAGAAGATTACAAAGCTTTATAAAAAAAGCAAAAAAGGGTAAGAAAAACAAATTAATCCTGCAGTTCGTGTTTTTATAAAATAGTCCTGAGACCGCAGCTAAGCTTTTAAATCTTTCATGCTCTGATATATACTCACACTGCAAGACAGATTCCCAGCTCCAGGTTTACACAGGGATTGCAATAGATATGAAATCAACCGCTGGCCTCCAATTAATCTGGGTGGTTCTGCTATAGTATTACTTAACTTGATGCTCTTCAGATATGTTGAACATATCCCATCATTGGACAGCATGGAGATGCTGCGAATGGTGTGAATTGTAGTCCAGTTCTTCTGTAGAGCAGCAGATTAGTGGAAATTGTTCTTGGAGGCTAGCAGCTTGGAAGGGTACCTTCAGCGTGAGTTTTGGAAGCTATAGCAACAGTTTTTTCCCCTACCACTTGTGTTTTCTGGGGAGCCACAGTGGGCTAGCTTATTCAATGGGTCTTCAGTTCCCCTACTTGTTGCTAACAATGCCCTTAGCACTTCTCAAATTGGCTTTGGGCTTTGACCCAAGTAGCTTAGGAATAAGCTACAATTCACCTAATGATAACAGCACATAACAGCACGAGAATAAACCACTTGTCTCTTTTGAATGATGTGTAAATATATAGGACTAGGGGTGACATGATAGCAGTGTTCCAATATCTCAGGGGTTGCCACAAAGAAGAGGGAGTCAAGCTATTCTCCAAAGCACCTGAAGGCAGGACAAGAAGCAACGGATGGAAACTAATCAAGGAGAGAAACAACCTAGAACTAAGGAGAAACTTCCTGACAGTTAGAACAATTAACCAGTGGAACAACCTGCCTCCAAAAGTTGTGAATGCTCCAACACTGGAAGTTTTTAAGAAGAGACTGGACAACCATTTGTCTGAAATGGTATAGGGTTTCCTGCCTGAGCAGGGGGTTTGGACTAGATGACCTCCAAGGTCCTTTCCAACATTATTATTATTATTACTATTATTATTATTATTATTATTAGCAGCAGCAGTAGTAGTAGTAGTAGTAGTAGTAGTAGTAGTAGTAGTAGTAGTAGTAGTATTTATATCACAACACATCCTCCCCAGCAGTCTACAGTAAAGAGAAAATCACACCCTCATCAATACTGACAGGAAAAGCTACTATATACAAACCCCACACTCAGTAGCACTGATGGGTAATAAAATATCTGGTTGGGTAATAAAATATCTGCAAGTTAACAACCAGGCTCAGAGACCTTCAAGGACTCCAGTTCAACTCTGAGCTACATATATCCTCTTCTGTTGGAACACTTAAATGAGGTCACTATCTTGATTTCCCTTCAATTAATTTACGATAATTTACTTATAGATGTCTAAACTAAAAAATTCCTCTATGGAATCTTACCTCACTTCCAGACAATTTCCACTACAGCATCAGTTCATCAAGCTTGATATTGTCTACTCACTGGCCATGAGCCTCAAACAAATGTTTTTATCAGTACTACATCCTACAGTGGTTTAACCCAATCTCCTCAAAATAGCCCTGGACATGTTGTCTTACAATTTCAGCCATTCCAGCAACTAAGGTGAAGATTGAGGTATATTAAAGTTGTAATCCAGCAGCATCTGGAATTTATGCTTCCTGCTTCCTGCTGTGGTGCACAGGGATTATATTGTAAAAATATTTTTTTTAAAAAAACAACAACAAAGTAACATAAGAAGCTGTATAGGAGAATTAAGTGGGATTCCCCTAGCATGGGCCTAACTGGAGAATTAATATGAATTTGAATCATTAACAGTAGAAGAATATTCATGTTGACTCAGGACAAAGAATCACAAAAAAATTTATGGGGCAACTTGGAGTTGGACTTCCAAGTTGGATAATAGCAATAGTACTTATACTTATATACCGCTTCATAGTGTTTTACAGTCCTCTCTAAGCGGTTTACAGAGTCTCCATTTTATTGCCCCCAACCATCTGGCTCCCCATTTTACTGACCTCCGCAGGATGGAAGGCTGAGTCAACCTTGAGCCAGTGGGAATCGAACTGCTGAACTGCTGGCAGTTGGCAGTCAGCAGAAATAGCCTGCAGTACTGCATTCTAACCACTGCGCCACTGTGAATTTTGTCAAGGCCCTCGTACAAATGGTTAACATAAAATAAGATCCTCCTTGCATACAACATTGAACCAACAATTTAAATCTATCCCTTAAATGACTAGATTTCCACATCCATAAAACTACTGTTTTATAACCATGATTTATTGAATAATCTAGAATTGGCTGAGTTCAGACAGCATACTAATTGCATTGGCCAAGTTCATACAATAAGCTAAATCAAAATGTCTATGGAGATTCTCAATCATCCAGATCATGGTTGTCCCAAAGGTGCTTTTTCAAAAGGCTACTGGACTTTGTTTTTCCTTGAAGACTAAGTTGCCTTTTGAAAAAGCACCTTTGGGACTAAATCAAAATGAAAGAAATTGTATTATGAGTTTGTGTATTTAGCCATTATCTAAACTAGTGGTGGCGAACTAATGGCACACGTGCCAGAGGCGGCACTCAGAGCCCTCTCTGTGGGCATGCACGACGTCGCCCCAGCCCCACCACCCCCTGTGGCCCCTTCCTTACCAGCAGCTTCCCCAGAGGAGAGTCGCCCCAGGTGCAGCCTGCGCAGAGCAGCACAGCCAAGGACATGGCATCTGGGAAGCGAGGACAAGACTCTGCCCTCGCGTCCCATTGCGTGCAGATGATGCTGGGGGGCGCAGACAGAGGGCATGGTGCCATGATGCTGCTGGGCCGCCTGGGTGATCTGTGGTGGGCCGTGGAGCCAGTGGGTGGCCCTGCAGGCAGGAGAGGCAGGGGCAGGGCAGGGGCATGGCGTTTTTGGGGCACTCGGTCTCTAAAAGGTTCGCCATCACTGATCTAAACTGTATCCCTTTCCTATTTCAGGATTCTGGTAAATATGGATGATAACATCATTGAACATTATTCCAATGAAGACACTTTCATCCTAAACATGGAGAACATAATGGAGGGTTTCAAGGTCACGTTGACGGAAATCTAGTCTAGACCAGCACAGACCTTGTGAAGTGAAAACATTTTACCATCAAGGAAGGAAGAAGTAATAATAAAACCCCCGATTTCATTGATACGGAGAAGAAAGGTTGTTACAAAACTAAGTTGTAAACAACCACATTTCATTTTTTTGCCACTGGAAACCAATAGGGCAATTACTGACAAGTCTGTTCAAAAGAACATTTCTTCATAAAGTTCCTTATTTATTGCTCCTCACTCTGCAATATGTAAATAATCAGTGGATCCTATACTTCACGATGTTGCGAAGGAGACAGAGACTTTAAATAAAAACAACATAGTTAATACAAGAAAAAATAATAAGTTGAAGAATCATAGTTCTACTGGGACTTAATCACTAAAATTTCACCCTCTAAAATGAATTGCTAGAAAATATGATAAGTGTTAACAATGAGCAAAGTGCCTGGTGATCTTTGCATACCTACTGTATACAAACTTCTAGTGCTGAGTATCACGTAGCTCAACCATATCCCTCCCTTTGCAGGTCAACTGAGGGCTTTTAAGACTCTCAGATGACATGTACTTTGTAAGTAAAACACCATCCATTTTAACCTCTGTATATATTTGTTTATAATATGTAATAATATATTTTTCCTATCTGTGTGGATGTGTTTACTGCCACTCTATTCTGTGTTTGGATAAGAAGTTGGCAGAGTTCCTGGCCAAAGAGCAAAGTTCTCTCACCAGCTGTTGATTCTTCAGGGTTTTTGATACCTTATGTTCAAAGCTTATCCAGGAGCCACATTAGAAAGTTAAAACTCCTTATTATCACAACTAAGATTATTCTTTCCTTGCTATACCAGCTACTCAGGTCTTCCAATGAGATGTTTTCTATTATTTTTAGACTAGAACTCCTGTTAAGTCAGGCATTTAACCATACAGAGTAGAACTAAAGGCCATTTGGAGTGCATCAGCTTGGGAGAGTCAGACTTATTCAATGATATTGCAGTCTTCCAGTTCCTGAAATATTTTTTCTATCTCTTTTTCTCTCTGTTGCTTTCTCTCTCGCTTTGGTTTTTTATCCTTGCTGAATGGACGTTCACTTCTGTAGTGCATCATGCGGAGAGTCATAAATGTGGCATTTCTATGTCATTCCCACCAATGACTACTACTAATTTTTACCCAACCTTTTCTAAACAAATGTTATTCTTCCATTCAAGTTACCTCTGAAAGATCCTGGCAATAGGAAATCAGTGTGAGTTTAGCAAGATGTTTTATTTTTTGCTTTTATTTTAGGGAAATTGTATGCTTATAAAACAATAGAAGTATAAAACTGGAAGGCAAGTTTGGAATTATGTAGAGTCCAATCCTCTGAATATGCCGTATATTGGAGCATGTAAATACAGGTGGTCCTTGCTTAATGACCAGTTGTTTAGTGACCATTCAAAGTTATGATTGACCTTATTAGAGGTCCTGGTTCTGAAGTTCTGCTGACCGCACACATGCACACACACCATAGCCATGTGATCGGATTTTGGGCTGTTTGGCAACCAACCTGCATTTACCGCCATATGCAATGCCCTGTGGGCACATGACTACAATTTTCAGTATTTTTTGTCAGTTTATGGCATTTACTTTTGGTTTCCAGCAAAAAATGCACATTGAGAAAAATGGGTTCATTTTAACAACCACTGCAAAAAAAAAAACCCTCCTAAAATTGGGCATGGTCCCATGATGACCGACTTAACAACTACCACAACTCATGGCTATAATTCTGGGCTCAATTACAGTTGTATGTTGTGGACTACCTGTAAAAGATGTAAATACCCCAAGATATATCTAGCAGAGGAGAATCCATCAACTGTTGCATCAGTCTGTTTCATGTTCACACCATGCTTTAAAAGCATCTCTTAATGTTCAGTTGGTTCTCATACTTCCTTCAGGAGTAACAAAGAATACTATGCCCAATAGCTTTTTATATATTTGAAGATAGTTACTTTATAAATGTTTTTCATAACTAAGGGTTGGACTTAGATTTCTAAATATGTTGCACAAGTTCAGATTTTCTTCTTTCTCTTCTTAAAGGTATCAAGCCATACTCATGATTAGGGCCAGGAATGAATTCATTTGGTTTGCATTTTAACCAAACTGAAATTTAGCTAATGATTAAAATACACTTTTCTGAAGTTTGTAGTTCATAGATGTGTAAAATGCATTTTTTCATGAAATTGTGAACAAAAATTAAAGAGCAGGTTTGATCTAATGGTTACGGGAACCAGGCTAGAAACCAGGAGACCATGAATTCTAATCTCTCCTTAGCCATGAAAGCCAGCTGGGTGACTGGGCGAGTCCAACTCACCTCACAGGGTTGTTGTGGGAGAAACAGGAGGAGGGAGGTGGTGGATGTTTGCTGCCTTACTTGTGAAAATAATAAAGGCGGGATACAAATAAACAAATAAATGAAATAAATCTCCATTAGGTTAGGGGATGTATTTGTAAAAGTGCTGCATAATAGATAGAATTGCAAATAAAAGAGCATATGGACATAGAAATCTGTCCCAGAATATATATCAAGTTAGTAGTCCTCAAAAAAAAAAACCACTTCAGTGCAACAAACCAAACCATATATATTTGCAAAAATTAGGATCTGAAAAGAATTAACTTCACAGTTTCATAAAAATTAAGAGACTGAGAAAAAATTGAAATTGATGTATTTGCTCTTCTCTACTTTTATACACGAGTCTTGGTATAGTTTTTGGCATTGCCGTTCATACTGAAATGCAGTTTGTGAACTGCGTATTTATTGAGAATATTTTACAATATGCAAGAAAGTGTTGTTTTTCCTTAATGGACCTAATCCTTAAAAAATGCATGCCATATTCTGCATGGATGGCAGAATAGTTTTGGAAAGACTGCAGGTCAGATCCCATCACGTTCGCTATCATTTATTTCCCCTTCCAACTCACTCAACCCGTTGCAGAATTTTTGTCAATATATCTCTAAAGAGGTTTGTTTTGTATGAACAGTTTTTTCATTTTTTTATTATTGTTTTGTAAAACTATTGTTTCTGATGAATCCCACTAGAATGTAAATATAAAAAATGTACAGAGGAATGCTGTTCTTGATGTGAGTCTGTGCACATACACCGCCTACCATATTTTTTGTTTTCAATATCTAGTTTGATTTTTGTTTTACTTTGTTGTTTTTAATGGCACTTCCATAGATGGAGCTAATGGGAACGGACAGAGGTTATGTATACCAGAAGGCCATTGTTTTCGTCAGCAGAAACTTCAGGTTAGAACCATTTCCCAGATAAGCCTTGTCCAACATAGTAAGCCTTCAAATCTGTTGAGCAATAGCTCCCAAGTTTCTGAACCTTTCAAAGCAATGATTCCTGATATATATATGAAAAGAACTCTTTTTCATATATATCCATGTTTTTATAGCACATTGTCTCCTAGAGATTCCTGCTGTGATGATTTATTTGACTGCATGCCTACTATGTTCTGGGTTAGTTGGTTGGTCTCCTGGCAATTGCCTGGGCTAGTCCTAGCAATTTTCTTAGCAAGACTTTTGGAAGCGGTTTGCTTCCTTCCTAGGGTTATGGACTTCTATTATTTGATGTATTGTGTCTTGAACACTATACTAACCTGGATGTTATGATCTGCCTAAATCACTCATTTTCCAGGCCATGGAATGTGACCTTAAAATTTACTTTCTGGGTCATTCAACCCATCCATTCATTCCTTTTGCCATCTGCACAAATGAACAGGTGTAAGAACTTCTTTTAGCATGCTGTTGGTAATGGCTGACTTGCTAATCAGAGAAAAGGCTTTTAAAGGTTTCTTTTATCTAAATCAGCTTGATACCAATTTAGAAAAGCACTTGATCTTGCAGGCATTTATTTTTCTTGTAGCATCTTGGGTCTTAAATCTTTGAGATTTAAAATTTCATTGACTCTTTGAGTTTTAAAATGTCACAGAAGAAATGTCAGGCCTGAGATATAATTAACAGCTTCTTTAACTGTAAATTTATTTTCAGTCAGAATCTTGTATTTCCCGGTTCAGTCAATGATTTTTCTTTCCTTTTGCAAGAAATCACACTTGTTCTCCATTTGTATACTTGCATAAAATTGGATATCCCTAGAAGTGTAAAACTTTGATGGCTGATGGATTAAAATTGTACAGCCTTTTTATAGCAAACTTGCTTTTAAAATGACATATCGTGGTGAGATTCAAATGTTGCTTTGCTTTGTTTTTGATCATCAAGGGCTGAGGAATCAGCTGTACTTGTTGAACACCACTTGGCACCTGCCAAAGGCTGCAGAAGCTTCTGTATGCCTCCAGCACTGCAATTCACTACCGCTTGATAAGTTGGATAAAAAAGCAGATATCAGCCAAAGTAGATAAATGGCAGTTTTACAGGAAATTTGCATGTGATAATTTATACATACAGTAGATACAAATTTAGAAATAATTACTGTAGTTGAAATAAAAGTAGAGAACAATGCATGACAGGCATGCTTTAGCTCTTCTTAACTATTCATAGGCAGCTTTCTTACCCAGAAATCAGCCAGAGTGCCTTCATCAGAGGATGCCTGATTTAGAGGGGTTTTTTCAGATTTTGTTCCGCTCCCCCACCCAACCCCACTTGCAAGTAGGTGTTTCATGGAAATAAAAGAGATGTCAAATGAATCTATTTATTACTGATGTTCTTCTAAATGGAGCTGGAAAACGTGTGTTCTGTTGTGCAAGATGGAGAAACCAAATATGTTAAACTGGTTCATCCTAAACTAACTTTTCTTAACTAAAGA